TAATACAGCTCTTGCGTCACGTTCGCTGCAGCTTATCGTTCATTTTGTACCGTTGGTAGCTAATGAGGCTGAAGCATCCTTGAAGGAGGATCAAAAACATCTTATGAGACATTTCAGACAGGTATACTCAACTTATTCTGTTATTATACACTGTTACATATCTTACCTCACAGGCTCTAATGGACTATTCGGATCACATTGGTGAGATAAGATCCAAGCTAATCAGTGTTATCGATCATCATACGATCAATTGTCTGAGCAATGTAAGCATCCAAAAGTGACTTTACTGTATCTAATGGTTTATGAACTCTGTTTAGTGGGAAGTAAGCTCATCGGTGCCGTCTTCATCATTTCAACAGATATGCCGACAAATGCAAAAATTCCATAATGGTCTAGCTGGCATTATTCCAGATGATCAAATAAAGGTTTGAAATTTTCTGCGCAATTCGCTGTTGGATTTTTTCTGTTTTTGCCTTTCCTGCCAATTCGAATTGTTTCAGTTTGATTTTTGTCAGGAGCTGTATAGCATTTTTTCAGTCTCTTTTTGAAACAGTGCATGAACATTTCAAAGAGAATTTGAAGCTACACCTGGCGAAAATCGGAATTTCACCACATGATTCGCTCAAATATGGGTATGAGTACTTACTTACTTTATTCTTCATTCTGTAAGGTTTTCTTTCACGAGATTCCTTCAGCATCTCAGTATTTTGAATTTTTGATTTGCAGGTGTGTGTCACAAGATTACGCTTTCTACGCGCAGAGCTTGAGAGCAATGTCCAGTTGTTGCGAACTCAACGTCGAATCGTTGAATGATGTCATTTATGGAAGATGACATACGTGACGATGTCTTCTCGCAGCAAGTTCTTACAACGCTGAGCAGAAGAATTTCAGTTTGACGTCGTTTTAGGCTCAAACTGACAGAGTTTGTCTCTCGCCATTATTTGCTGGTACTATCAGTTTAGCCATAATCGATTGGTTGTGAGATTTCGTGTGATACAATGTACCTGGTTTCAGTGATAATTCTATTTCTGTTCACTTTTCTACGCTTAAGCAAATTATTTTCCTTCTAGTCGTGGTATTTTTTTGTGCCTTTTCAACTGTTGTGATTTTTTGCTTGACTATATTTCATTTTAATTCCCAGACAACATTCCTACTGCTCAGCGTCAGTATCATAATATCGTATCAATTCCAGGGTTAGCTGGGTCACAAATGATGAGCTTCAAAGTGCTACAAGTTGGGGCACACTTTTTTGAAGTTGTATCGAATATACATATGTGTAAATGAAACATTGAGATTAAAGATTGTCTTTTGAGATGTAGCCCAGAATGTTACTTATTCTGAGATAGAAAAGCGATCTAGCAGATTGTGAGCCTGTGAAAGTTTATCTCATAGTGATCTAAACCAATAAAGCTAAAGATGATTAGATTCTTTAAAGAACTGTGATAGTCGGCATTGTTTCGTAGTGCGATTGTTTCTATGAGACCCTTTCAACCTCTAGATATCACTCTCAAATTACTTTCTTCCTACTTCCTAAGACATGAATTCTACATTAAAGAATGTTTCTAGCTACAATCTCGGCTGGGTATTATCAGTTGGAGCTCAAAACTTTATTCAATTGCTTTTGTCTTCTGATATTCATATTGCTCTTCTTGTCACCGAGGTGTGTCCCCGTTCAACGTACATATACCAAAAAGCTTCGCAAGTAGAGTATTAAACTTCAAACGCCAAGTGCGCAAAGGCGCGCTTTTCAATAACAAAATGTAGTTTGATAAATTAATGTTAGAATTTTACCTTCTTTCCACAATTTTTCTTGAAAATAATGGGTGCAATATAATTCTATCATATTGCCCGCGGTTGCGCTACAGCTTTTCTCGGCTGGGCCGGAAAGAGGTCGGAAGGAAAACTTCGCTGGGAGCGCGTAGAAGGCGACAAAATTCTTAAAAGCGCTTGTGTAAAAAAAATATTTCCCGTTCTTGTGCGGCGTTTACTGTTGTTACGCCGGCAATAACGCACAATTTTCACTAAAAAAAAGATTGTAGAATTTGTCTATAGGTGTTCGAATAAAGTACCTCAGATATTGGTCATGACTTCCTACCCTTTTCTAGGAAAGCTTTCAGATAAGAGCTGCAAAAAGGTTCTTTCATGTAAAAAAAGGTTGAGCGATATTTTTATTATGTCAATTTTTGATTTCATAATCAAG